GGGGGGGGGGTGGGGAGACCTAATTGCAGTCTGCAACTTCCTCATGAGGGGAAGAGGAGGAGCAGGGACTGATCTCTTCTGTGTAGTAACAGTGACAGGGCCTGAGGGAAGGGCCTGAAATTGTGTCTGGGGAGGTTTAGTTTGGATATGAGGAAAAGATTCTTCACCCTGGGGCACTGGAACAGGTTCCCCAGGGAAGTGGTCACAGCACCAACCTGACAGAATTCAAGGAGCGTTTGGACAACACTCACAGGCACAGGGTGGAATTCTTGGGGTGTCCTGTGCATGGCCAGGAGATAGACTTTGATGATCATTGTGGGTCCCTTCCAACTCAGGGTAATTCTGTAATTCCATGACTCATAATATAAAGGCAGCCTGTTGTCAAAATGTACTGGTCTGTGTTTTTCGCAGCAGCCTGTGCTTGTGTCAGTGCAGAGAGACTGCAGAATCACAGCCTCAGCTTTACTTACCTTTCCCACTGTATTGTTGGTGAAGAAAAAGAGAAACTTCAGCCCATGGCTTGAAGGCACACCCTCCTATGTCACCTTTATCTCCACAGCCCCATGTGTCAGATTGATGGAAAATATTGAATATTTTTATAAATACTGTCATAACATCATCATTTGGATCCTCAGACTCAAAAGCCTATGAAAATAAGAGCATGAAGGTTGTCTGGTACTATCTTGCCCCTTCCCTAGTTTAGCCCTATAGTGACTGGGTTTTCACACCTATGCTTTCCACCAACAAAAATATCAGCAGACCTTGAACAATTTCCTTTCTGGTTGAGAATGAAAAACAATACAAAATAGTCCTCTTTTTAAAACTTTTTATTCATGGCTCAAAGTTGACTTCTGTTCTCATGCTGTCAAGGAAACAACCATAAACCAAACAAAAGTCAAAGGAATCTTACCTTTCTTCCCTAGGAACACTTGAGTGTTGACTCCTCTTGGCCACTGGCTACTCCAGATGAGACAACTGGCTCCAGATGCGTACAATTGCTCTGGCTAATCATCTCCCTTTGGCATGGCATGTGCTATCACCTCAACTGTCCTTTCAAACCAGAGGGGTTGTTTCTTTCATCATAGGTTATATACCACAAACATGAATCTAACACATTTACAGTTTATGCTAAATAGAGATTGGAAAACTATACATGGAAAATCCGCAGTGATGTCTGTTGTACACGAAACATTACTTCTGCAGTATATTGAAATAGGCATTCACAGAATCACAGAATAGATAGGGTTGGAAGGGACCCCTGGAGTCCAACCCCCCTGCCAAGGCACATACAGGAGGTGACACAGAAACACCCCCAGGTAGGGTTGAAATGTCTCCAGAGAAGGAGACTCCTTCTACTACGCAAGTAGTAGATGACACAATTTTGAGGATTTCTGTTTGGGTCAACAGAGAGGGGGAATTGTGGGAATCCATAGGATTAGAGGATTTTAGGAGAGCTGGGAAAAAGAAAGGCCTCAGAGACAGTAAGGATAGTGAAATGCTAAAGCAGCAGAAAAGATATATAGGCAGTAGCGAAGACGTGAGAAATAGAACAATAAAGCTGTGTAGTTTGGCTTTCTAAGTTGCAAAAGGTATATTTTAGTAAATATTTAGAAGGTTAAATATGAATGGGGCTCTGTGCTTTGTCTTTTATAAAGGAACCATTGTATGAGAGAAAAAGCTGCTATTGTTTTTAACCAAAGCTACATGTGTGCTTCATGTGGTTAGATAGAACTACTGTCAATATGCTTTTGCTCTATGTAATTAGCTGAAACTGAGTCTGAAACTATCTTATAGTACGTTGCAACATTAAGTTTCCTCGACCTGCTGTCTGGATAGCGAGCTGCTCGCATCAATCCTTTGTCATAGCCATGTAATGAGACTGATGCTGCTTGAATAAACAGCCCACAACACTATTTAGATGTGGTCCCGTTAAATTCGTGTCTGTATATAAACGGCCGGCGTCATGTTCCAGTACTCTGTCACCCTCAGCGTAAAGAAATTTTACTTCATGTTGGGGTGGAACTTCCTGTGTTTTAGTTTATGGCCTTTGCTCCCTGCCCTGTCTCTGGGGACCAATGAAAAGTCTGGCACTCCTCTTGGCACCAGTTTTGAGATATTTGTGTGCATTAATGAGATCCTCTCTCAGTCTTCTCCAGACTAACCAGGCCCAGCTCTCACAGTCCCTCCTCATAAGAGAGATGCTCCAGACCCCTCACCATCTTTGTGTTCCTTCACTGGACCTTCTGTGATAGCTCCTTGTCATTTTTGTCCTAAGGAGCCCAGAACTGAGCACAGTACTGCAGGTGGAGTCTCACCAAGGCTGAGTAGAGGGGCAGGATTCCCTTCTTCAACCTCCTGGCCACACTCTTCCCAATGCACTACAGGATACCATTGGCCCTCCTGGCCACAAGGACATACTGCCAGCTCATGATCATCTTGCCACCCACCAAGACTCCCAGGTGTTTCTCTGCAGAGCTGCTCTCCAGAAGGTCACCCCTCAAACTTTGCTGGGACTTGGGGTTATTCCTTCCCACCTGCAGAACCCTGTATTTGCCTTGTTTAAACCTCATTAAATTTCTCTCCAACTCTGCAGCTTATCAAGGTCCCATGGAATGGCAGTAGAGCTTTCAGGTGTATCAGCTACTCTCCCCAGTTTTACACCAACAGGAAACTTCCTGAGTATTGTTCTTTGCTTGTATTACAACAATCCTTAATATTCCTGAAGTAAGATTGGTATTATCAAGGCTTTAACTTTACTCAGATCAGGTTCACTGACATGAAAGGAAGTATTTCTGTGAACATGAGTAGGAGTTAGATAAGGGTTAATTAAAGAATGCCCTAGAGTTGTGTGAGCTTTTGCTTTTAGTAGTGACATAAAAAAAAAAAAAAAAAAAAAAAAAAAAAAAAAAACGATAAAAATTCAGAAGCACTGTTTGGATAGCCTTAAACTTTTAGGTTCTGAACAATAATCTTCTCACAGGATTTCAGAACTATAGAAAAGCACTCTGCAAGCTGGGAGGATTTTTATGCTGACATAATGGTTACATTGGGAATAAAGGGTGAAACAGAAGTTGCAAAAGCTTGCAGATCCTAGCAGAGAAACTAATTTCAGCAATAAGAGGAACTAAAACAGAGGAAACTGAAATAATTTGATTTCCTTAATTGCAACTGTTTCTCAATAACAACAGGCATGGAAATTTTCAGTAATTTTGTAAGAGGAGTAACCTGTGAATGGCAAAAGCATTCTTCTCTTTAATGCACACAGCTGGCAAGAGAAGAGACAACCTGTTCAACACAAATCATGTTCATTCTACCTGCAAACTGCCTTAAAAATACAGCCCCTTTTCCTTTGGTAAAGCTCTGGTTCAGATTTTCATTGTCTCACCTCTACATCTGAAACTTCCTCTTTCTGATTTCAACGCATCTACTTTCTCTCCCAAGAAAACTGTTTAACACAATGCAGAAAAATGTATCTTGCTGACTTAGTGCCTCTATAGTATTTTCATACTCTGCATCCCTCATCTACCTCTACTGGATCAAATCTTTTCCATGTTATTACCCCCTTCCATCAAAGCACACACTGCTCAGTGCTTGCTTGCAGCTGACCAAGAAGAGGTGACTCTCCAGCTGCGCTACTCCAGGTGCTCTCCAATACTGCGCTACTACTCCTTCCTCTTTTGCCACATTCCTTTTGGAAATGAGAAGCTTCCTGTAAAGAGAATCTACAGTAATTTC